TGATATCTATGTGTGATGATGATATCTATGGGTGTGTTGAATTGGATGAGGTACGAAATGAGGGTTATCTAGTGTGTTTGATGGAAAAGAATTACAAAATCCAACTTCTTTATGTCTGATTCAGGACAAGGGAAGCAGAAGATAAAAATCTAACTCAACAAAAATTGTTCTAAATTTCACCAGCTTCCATTGAAAAAAGAGCATCGAAATTAGTTCAAATTATGAAGGTGTATGAACAAGAAGGTTCATTTGATTCCCCTATGCGATGTCAAGTTACAATCATAAGACCGTGGCACGTGCAAGTTGCGTCCGTCGCGAGTCACGCGCGTATAACAACGGACGTATCGCACCGTGTCGGGTTGCGCCACTTGCATTACGTTATATTTTACGTGCGACCTATAGCGAATGTTATCGAATCACGGTTCGGACCGATCTCTTCGCCATCGCCCGACACCATTCCGCGCGTAACTTCGTTTCGAGGGTTCCGCCGGTAATATGATAATGTAAATACTACCGTCCGACAGGTTCGACGTCGGCCGATAAAAGCGACGATACCTCTCCGAATTTCATTCAACATTTATGCAACGTTGTACGAGATTTGCCATTTTTATGCAAATACTCCCAGCAACGCCGGCATTTCGTTCTCTCGTTCGGCCGCTTTCATTATTCAACGTATTAAACGATAGCATCACGCGAGCGGGGCTGTGTATGTCATAAAATATCGAAACAAATGCGACTACTTGGTGGCCGAGATCGGCCGCGGGAGCGACGAGAGTTTGCTTCTGAAAAAAAGCAGTTTCTTTAACAAGCAGCCGCGGAAATTTATGATCCGCTTTTTTTTTCCTTCGGGGAAATAAAACGGAACGTGCGCGTTCGGGCGAGTTGCGAAAATTGCGATATAATGTGTGTCCAGGGGCCAAGTAACGAAGCAGCAAAAATGGCCGAGTTGTTCGACTGGCTTCATTATTAACAGTCCCATCGCCTCTAATACGTCTGAATTTGAAATCAAATTAAATACGAATACCCGCGGGTCTTTTTCTTTCTCTGTCTCTCTCTCTCTCTCTCTCTCTCTCTCTCTCTCTCTCTCTCTCTTTTTTTTCCTCTCATCCTCCTTCTTTCTCCTTTTTCTCTCTGCATGGAAAACTCAAGCGTACGTGTAAATTGAAACGGCCGCAGTAGCGGCACTGACAGCTGCAGTGCCACGAATTCATGCACAAATATATATATATATATATGTGTGTGTGTGTGTGTGTGTGTGTGTGTGTGTGTGTGTGTATGTGTGTGTATGTTATGTGTGCGCCCTCGCCCGCACGTGTCGTATATATCCTATACATCCAGTGCTTGTTTGTCTGATTCATATGCACGAATATCATATGAATACCGGGGGAATTCATCCGCGTATCGCTTTTCTTTCGACACATTAAACATTTCCGCGTGCGTGTAACTCTCCCCGCGTATAAATGGATAGCGTGTGTTTTAACGCGCTCGACCCCTGCTCGTAGAGATAAAATCTCTTTCATGCGTTGGGAGAAAAATCGTTATTTTACCAAGTATATACTTCGCTGAATCTAGCAGCTTGCTGTCTGACAGAAACACAGAGAGAGAGAGAGAGAGAGAGAGAGAGAGAGAGAGAGAGAGAGAGAGAGAGACGAACAGACGCCGATATAAAGACAGTTTGCGATTTTTCGAACAGCGCACTTTTCCAGAGAGAGGTATATTTCTCGGTCGGGACAGTTTGGTTAAGCTCCGGAAGCTCCGAATCGAATCCCGCAACAAAGCAAGGATCTAAGCCAAGCTCTGAAACGAAACGCAGGTTCTAACCGACCGCAGCGGTAGCGGGAGACAAACCTATTTCCAAAGCTCGGTAGATATACGTAACTCCGATTTTACGTGTCGCGGGTTTTTGGGGGGAACGCGGCTTTTATTCGTAAAAACGTTGAAATGTGAAAGAAAACAGAAAACCGGAACGCTGAAAAGACACAACTTTGCGAGGATACAAAACGCAAAATATAATCTACGAAATAATTACGACAATTGTTGCAGTTGAAGGGGGGAAATTAGTCTGTAAAATGTGCTATCTTCAACACACACAAGCGAAAAATTAAAGTGACCAAATCTAGTAAAGAGAACGAGAAGACACGATGTATATAACGTCTCTTTAATTAAAGTTTAAATCGCGTAATCCCAACACAGACAGTTCACGATCGTCCTCGGCATCACCTTTTGCTTTGCCGGAGCAAAACAACCTTCAACCTTTGCCCTGCAGTCACGTCTTTCACCAGTTTTGTACGCTTGCCATTTTTTTCAAGCAATTTAGGTTAGACGTCGCATGTGAACTGCCTCAAGTAAGATACTGAGATTTGGATTCATGAACTCAGACATTTGATTCATGAAACTTGTCTCATATGAGGTACTACTCAGATTTTTATTCAAAGTTAGATAAAAATTTTTCAATTTAAATTTGCTACCTTCAACACACACGAGCGGAAAATTAAATTGATCAAATCTATTAAAGAGAACGAGGAGACACAATGTAATGTCTCTTTAATTACGATTAATTCGATACGATATAAGTGACATTATATTTATAATCGCGATTCAACTGGAAAATTTTTATCTGACTCTGATCCGAGAACCGGAATCTGAAGTATCTTACTTTGAGAGAAGTCTCAATTAATGACTATTAATATGAGCCTTTGACCCTCGCACGGAATGAACCCTCCTTTTTAGCGTGTCCTGTCGTTTTTTGAGCGCGAGGAAAGAGCGAATAGTTGAACGTAATCGTTAGCGACAGTGTGACATTCTCGCTGATAAAATCAGGCTCGATCCTGGTATTCACGCCGAGGCGCCGCATCCTATCCGGCTATCGATCCCCCGAGTCGATACTCCATCTCAGCGTGGCGTAGAGGACTTATCGTGTACATACCTGGAAGCTACATCGCATCATTGTTCGAGGAGGCATCCGATCGGAATGCTCCAGTTTTTCGTCCCGTGACCAATCATGCGCGAAGAAAGCTGCCGGAACGAACTGTTAGCTGTTGGCACCTCCGAAACGGGCGAAACGTTCTATCTGATCAGGACGAGTCGGTATGTGCCTTCATCGCGATCGACAGAGAGAGAGTGAGAGAAGGAGAGAGAGAGAGAGAGAGAGAGAGAGAGAGAGAGAGAGAAAGAGAGAGAGAGAGACATTTCCGCTTGTTTTCGTGCCGTTGATGTAGGAAGCCGCCTTCGAACCCATGGATTCGCGATAACTCACCAGACGAGCGCGGTTCCCGCGGTAGGAAGCGGTAAAGGTTGCACGATAAGTTCTCCGAGTCCAGAGAGAAAAAGAGAAGCAGGGGGAAACATCTCGACTTAACCCGTCATTGGAAAAGTGAAATTTAATGAATTTTGTTTTTTTTTTGTTGTATTTTTATAATTTTTCAGATCTTATAATATATCTCTCATAATTTTGTGGAATATTGAGATTTAATAACAGCCAACAGGATAAAATCCTGAAGATATTACGAAAATTTAAAGAGAACGAAATGGAATGCGTGAGGTCTCTCAGACCCCACCTTTCTGATGACAGGTTAAGAATATTTAGACGGAACATGCACTGCGAATTTCACCCATTTGTGTCAGAAGGGAATGTAGGACAGGCTAGAGTTAGTTGCCTATACCAGGATAAATTGGCAAAATCGTTTATTTCAAGTATTTTCTAACAAGTTGCAAGATTAAGCAAGCAAGATGTTTTAACATGTCAAAGATAGCTTTGAAAATCCTGCTTGCTTGATTCTGAAATCTATTAAAAAACAGTAGAAATAATTGATTTTGTCAATTAATTTTTGACATCCCAGTAGCCAAATAGCCCCTACTTGTTCATTTTGCCTGGCTGTTATAACGGGAGATGGCTCGAATCACGAAAATCACATATCTTAATCCGTTTTGTTGCATCTGATATCAATCTAAAGGAAAAGGAAATTCTACGTGAAATTTGATAGTAAGATCTATAGAGAAAATTTTATTTTCTATAGATCTACTATATATTTCTATAGATCTACTGTAGAAACCGAGAGACAGAGCAACATTCTGTAGCATTTGGGTATCCTTTTATCTCGTATATGCTATATTTTAGGAACTGCAATATGCTATTAAAAAATCTGACATGTTTCCAGCGAAATTTACTATTTTCCTCAGTAATATAGACCTTATTGACTGCCTGTACTATTAGAAACATAGTGAAATTGAAAAGAATTTATATGGGAACAAGACTGATATTCTCTCCACATATAATAAAATGTTCAATAACAAAATAATAAATAAATAAAAAAATCTAATGAAACACATGTATTCCAAGGAACAATAAATTATAAATAAGGCTCTATAATATACGTAAAAATATACTCTAAAAAATATATTCTCAGAAAGTATTTTTCAAATCTCTTAATGCAAATGATGCAAATGTTTCTCAAATCTCTGATGCAATTGAATTAGGCAAGGGTGTGTCTAGATACTTTCATGTCGATGGGGCGGGAAAAGGGAAAAGCGAAAGAAAAGAAAAGCGAAAACGCATAGTCTGCTCATGGTACAACCGTTACTCTCAACAGATTTCGACAGAGCATAGCCACGTGGCAAAGCGCGCGAGCAGGGAGAAAAAGTCGGCGGGGCTAAATACAGTGGTGGTTCGAGAACAAGTCGTTAAACTCACGAGTGCAAATTCCTTCCTTCGAGAGCAATTCGAAGACAGTTTCCGCTCGACGTGAGACACACGTGTAGCCGCGTCACGCGTGAGAACGGGCGCGAGCGTTTCCCGGTGTTTCTCGTTGCTCAACGTCGGATACCTCGGCGAGCCGCGAATGCAAATTCCCGGCTGGAGTCGTAACCTTGCGACTCGAAGATAAACGAAGAATAAGTTGTTTGCTCCGCGGCTCGTTTATCATCACGAGAAACGCTCCGACTCGCGGGCGAGTTGCATCGCTCTGCGCATCCGACGTGACGACTGGTGAATGCAATTGCAGGTGGATCGGGGGGAAAAGGAGGAGGGACAGGGAGAGGGTGGTCTGGCGCCGTCCTCAGCGGGTTTCAGCGGTGGTGCTTCCAGTTCGAGGATGGGCCCCGGGCCCGATTCTGGCAGCAGCGCTCCCTCTTCGGTACCCCAGTCGTTGGCTACCTCAAGGGACGACGAGGACGACGAGGACGAGGAGAGCAGCGGTAGGAGGTCTAATGGCCACGGAAGATCGAGGTTAGTGATTCGCGGCGTCGATTGCCCGCCTTGCCTAACGATCCGATTTATTTCAGCATCAGCATTCTATTGCAGCGCTCGAAACGACAAAACAACCCCGATTGAGGAAACGATTTTTTGATTGTTTGTGCACAGGCTGTCTGACGGATAGACGGTGGGAAAACGCTCTCGTACGTGTGGATTGGATCGACCTGAACGCAACATTTCTCTGTCACTTTGACAACAACCGCGGGAAATGCTGAGTTATTATGAATTAATGAAGATATTAATGAGCGATCGCGCGCTGAATACAGTCTCCATTGTCTCTGCTTGCACAGACAGATGATTAAAAGCTGCAACACTGTTCCCATTTCCTCGGAAGTCTGTGAAGTTGGAACGACGTTTTACAAATTTAAAAAAAACAATAACAGTTTTACTAACACTTTTCATAGTTCTAGAGTTCTAGATAGAAAACAAAAAGAGTTCCGCATTTTTAATACCAAAAAATAGCAAATAAAAAATTGCTAACTTCGCGTATTTAGCACGACACTTCCCCTCTAAAGTATAAAAAGTAAATAAATAGTATAACTTTTAACAAGAATTCCCGTCAGTTCTAATCAAATTCTATCAAAATGTTCAATAAAGAAAAAAATTTTCTATCTATAACTCTAAAAAATGTTAATAGAACTGCCATTGTCTTTTTAAAATTTATAAAACGTCGTGTCAGCTTCATAGACGCAATTCTCGCGCATGCGTAGTGGGATTTATCCTGCACATGGTCCAGAACCAGTCATGTTGTTCAGATCATATATTATTAGAGTCTAGAACACATTTTAGGAACACGTTTCTCTGCTTTCTCGACTATTTGTTACAGTTTTTAAAAATAATTTTCCCGTTTCCAAAGGTATATTTTCGAAAATAAGGTCAAGTGTGCGTATCTCGGTCAGCTTGACTCTTTCGCTAGTTTGATCTAATGTACAAACGTACAATAGAAATCGTACTTATCGTCACATCTTGCACTGTATAGCGCGCGACCATTTGCCAAACTTTTCATGTTAATAATTCAAAATTTGATTGTAATCGTTTGCAGAATGGCGAATACAGAGAGGAATTTTGCGTTCAGTTTGATTTAATTTACGTGTAAACGAGTGTTTTCCCAACCTTGGTCAAACATCCTGTACAGGGTGAGTCGCTTAATATTAGATTTTAAAGTAACTCTGTCTTTTATATTAGAGAAAAATGTGTAAAGAATAAATGATGTGGTTGGAAAGGATAAACATTGTCAGCCGACTTATCCAACTACACAATTTGTTCCTTATTCTCCTGTAATACAAAAGACAACAGAAATATTTTTGAATCTTATGTGACTCACCCTATATAAGTGTTTCCGATCTCTCGTTGTGTTCTCTTGTTATGCAGCTGATGCAGTTAATCTTTGCACATGAGGAGGTCTCCGCGTTCGCCCGTGCGTCAGCGTCGCGCATTAAGCTCGCATGTTGAAATCGTAATGTGTGAAACGAACTTCACACATTATTCGGATTAAATTTTATTATTATCAAAGTCAGTCCGCGCGCGGATGAAATACGCGCGCTGTATCTCGGAGAATCGAGTTAACGCTGTTAACGCGACGCAACCGGAAATGCGATGCGACCGTGTTCGCCAAGTGTTCCGCGAGTTAATTGATTTAACAGATGGTTCGTAAATTTGACGAGCGAGAATGACAGCGTGGGCGACTGGCGATTGAATAACGTTATTACACCGCCGTTATTTCGCTACGGCTCACCGTGCGAAGAGGACTAGAGGATTATGTCCGGCAACGCGATTCGACGACAATTTAGCTTAACGGACTCATTGTCGCGTGCGCGCTCCGTTACGTGTGTGATTAAGCTCAGAATTAAATTCTACGCGCCGTCTTGCAATCTTCGGCCGGCACGGGATCGCTAAGTTTGCTAAGTAAACGGAATTACATTCTGCGTTTTGTCCGACAACATTTGTCCTTTCTATCGCGCGGCGCGCATCGGAATTGCATTAATCGCGTCATTGAGAAGCGCGGGACGCGCGCACGTGAAGCGGCGGAATTTCAATTGTTGAACGCGGCGTATATACCTAAAACGTGATTAAAAGAGAACAAACGGAAATCCACTTGCTTGGAATGACTATTTCGCAATTTCTACCACCGCTCTTTGTGCGATTAATTAAGCGCGCGACCGATTTAAACGCGTCCGATCAGCATGCGCGGGATCCCGAGCGAGCGAATCATCGCAGGCTTTTAACGACTCAGCGTGTCCGAGGAAAAATGATCGTACGCAATTCGCAATCTACGAATTTGCTCTTCTCTACATGGTCATACGTAATCATACGCAATTATACAGGGTGAATCAATTGCTGTTGCCACCTCGGATATTTTCGAAGCAAGAGACAAAAGAGATTCTCAGATTTTTGGAATATTCCACTTAGCAGAAGAGCTACTTTCCCAGAAGGAATAGCTTCGAAGATCTTGAAGTCACCCTTCTTTTTTGCTTCGGGAATATTCGAGATGGCAATAATTACCAATGCATCCCGTACATGTCCACACACGATGAAATAATGCTGTACACAGAGGAAATATTGCAGAAAAAATTGCAACATTTAGCAAGAAAGTCTCTCTCTCTGTGGAGCCCATTCAAGTTGAAGCCAGAGTCACACTTCTTATAAAAAATTGGCTGCGCGATAATGCAGCAATCTTCTTTAATTATCAACTAAAGATCTGCGCGTTTGTTTGCAAAATGGTAGAGGACATTTCTCTTCAATTTAACCTAAGCACACGACAGCAAAAATCACCATCACAGCTCATCCACCGTATAGCGCGTGACCATTCATCGATCTTTTATAATTAATAACTCAAAATTTTACGTGTTTGTTTCCGAAATGTTAAAGGAATTTTGTGTTTACTGCAATAAGTTTTGCCCGCACACAACGGTACAGTATTGGACACTCTATTTATAAATGCATATAGTTACATACGAGGCCATGTAGAGACAAAATTCATACACAATATATTCATACACATACATATATATGACAAGTATCATATATATAGCTCTATATGTAATTTATATGTAACTACATATAATTTCATATAATAATCATATGTAAACCCCATTATCTTCTCGGCTAATAACAAAACGATTTTAGAAACCAAAACCAGTCGCCTCGCGTTCCATCCTGCGCGAACTCGCAGGAGAATAGCATACTCGAAGAGAAAAATGTTAACGAAGTGACGTGAAACCACAAATTCGCTGGAAGTTAGGTGTCACACAAACCGTTTCAGCCGCGATTCAGCCCCCCCCCCCCATTTCCCCTTCGATCTTCTCCTCTACAAGGAGGAGAAAGAACGATGTTCCGATCTCACTCGGTGTGAGTCTCGAGAGACCGTCGATCTGTCTTCTCACTTATCACGGGTAGCACACATCGTATCGCATCATCGAGCTTGCACGATAATTCGCACGAAGTCGGGAGTGTACGGAATTCTTTCGCCCGTTGAGATCTCGTCATAGCGCGACGGATCGTTCGGCGCGTCCTTTGGATTCCATCACGGTCCAAGCGACGATCAAGGTAAATCGCGCGCAATCCGCAATTGTGTCCTCACGACGAGCGCACGCCGTATGTCGCAGTACTCACAAATAGAGAAGACCGCGGCTAAATGCCCTACATTTTAGGATATCAAAGTTCTCAGCCAATTAATTGTTGTGACTGACCATACAAACGTGACAGAGCAACCTTCTTCTATGTATTAATCCCCGCCACAATCCTGTTAATTCATTCTAGCTAATAACATCGCTTAATTTTATTCAGTCACGATGAAGAATATTAATAAAAAACTTCGAGAAGTTCGAAAACTTACTTTGCTATTACCAAATCAAGTTTTTCTATTTCTTAACTATAATATTATCCTGATTTTAATGAAACTCGGGGAAAAGTATTTATGTTCTAAAAGGACCATTTCGCAATTTTGTACCCATTCCCTATTGCTATTTTTATACTCCATATCCTATTCTCTACTCCTATACCCTATTCTTCACAAAATAAATATTAAAAAAAGCATATGAGCAACATATCTTGGAGCTATACAAGGTGTCCCACTTAAACCTGGCCACCTAACTATTTCCTTCAATTTTCTCTTGCTTTGAGTAACTCATCGCGAACGATAAGTCGATAAACTGATAAATTGTTTGGAAATAATCAAGTCTTAAGACTTTCAGAGATCATTCGTAGTGCGATAGCATTAATTTTATTTTAATTTTTGGAGTCAAAGGTTAATTCAAAGGTAATGTCATATATAGATCTGAACGTATTTTAATATCAGCTACACGATGCAATAAAAAATATGCATTTATATGCAAATAAACATTGATGACCTTGAAAACTCCGAAAAAAAAACTTTGAAAAAATAATCTTTTTTGCAACATATTGGTCTCTTCATACCATTCAATTTACGTATAAAATATTTTTTGTATCGTCACAATTAATGGAGATATTTACCAGGTGGCCTGGTTTAGGTGGGACACCTTGTATATAGGTCTCTCCTAAACCTCGTGAAATGTTACACGCCAATTTATCTCAAAATTTTCACAATTACTTTTTATGTCTAAGTATAAAGAAATTTGTTTCTGTTTTTAACTCAAATAAAGATTTTCGTTTCTCCAGTAGACTTTAATTTTACGCAAATACGCGACTTTTGCAATACACGACGTGGAAAACGTTGTTTTCATATTGTACTAATAAGTCTGAGCTCTCTTTTGTCGATAAAGTGCCTCTAAATGTGACTAAAAGCCGGCTGAAAGGCTTATAAGTCATATTAAGAGACTCTTATTGATAAAAGAAAGTTCTCTATGCATACACGCTGTATATTCCTGTAGGCTTATCTCATGATTTTTAACGACAATGTCGTTACGCAGGTAAAATATCGATTCGGTACAAAAGCTGCGCATCGTAACGGTAACAACGTTGACGTTAAAAGTTACAGAATGGTCTTACCAACC